CTCACCTCCTCGTTGGAGAAGAGGAGCCTACCTTGTCTGCCTGGTGTGTGGAGGCACCAGAGACTAGCCTGCTGGCCTCTGGCCAATTAGCCCAAATCAGAACTTCTCCCACTCTCTTCGCAAATCTGAAAGAGGCATTTTCTGAGGATTGGGAAGAGGATCCAACCGCATCCCTGTGCCCTCTTCCTGCAGAGGAGTGGGGGCCCCCATTCTGGAGACGTTGGCCCCTTTCCCTGGGTTTCTTCTCCCTTCCCAAGTTGCCAGGAGGAGCTGACTGCATTCCCACGTTACACAGACTCTCAGAGCGTTCCTGCGTCCAGCAGCAGCTCTTCTGTCTGCCCGGGCTGGGTTCCCTGGCTGGGCTGGCCACCTGGCATCCGCCTCCTGAAGCTGGGGGCTCTTAGGAGAAGGGCACCCACATTCCCATTTTCTCAGGTGCTGCCGTGGGGCGCAACCACAGACTGGCCGACTGCCCTTGGGGGGAACTCAGTCCCTGGGCACCATCTCAGGGTGGCTCTGAGCAGGACTAATGGAGGGTCTCTGCAGCCCCATTCTGCCTTACAGCCCCCCCCCCCCCCCCCGAATTGCTGCTTTAGGGACAATGAATGAACCTTCAGGGACGGCGCAGGGAACACCCTGAATTTTGGGGCCGGGCACCCAAGCTCAGGATATCCTCTCCCCTTCCCTCATTTGTTTGCTGTCCACAAAAGAGGAGAGCAATGAATAGAACCGGATGGGTTCACACAACATGCCAGGATTGCCCCCTCCCCAATCCAGGTTTACCTTAACCAGGCTTAGCCCTTTGTTGCAGGTAGTCACTTGGTCTTTCACAGACCTGGTTAAGCATGTTGTGTGTACAACATGGCCAGGCCCTGGGAAAGAAGCCCCACCGGGGCTGGTGGGCTCCCCTCCTCTGCTCCTTCACTGGTTAAACCTTCCTCAGTCCTTTTGCCCTAGGTGGGCCAGGCCCTCCCACCCATTTAGTTGCCCCCTGCCTCCCCGCAGCCGGACCAAACCCCAGGACTCTTCTGTGGGGGAAGGGTTGCTTTACTTGTGGGTGCACCCACAGGGAGGGGGCCGGCGACTCCCATTGTACCCCCATTGGGCACGTGCCATTGGGGTGAAAGGGTTAAAATTGGGGTGATGCTTAGCGAGAGCCTGGTGTCATTGGCCGCTGTCTTTACATGGTTAGGAAATGCGTGGCCAAGGCTTGATGACCGAAAGGAGAGAATTCGTCCTCTTTTAAAATAAATGGAAGGAAGTAATACCGAAGAAAAAAGGGACTCCTGTATTTCTCTGTCTTGTTCCTGCACATGCGCGCGCGCACACACACGCCAGGGCATCCCTGGACAGACATCTGAATGCCCAGCTCCTGCCATTCATCAAGGAGAGAAAGATTAGCCACAAAGTGGGACCGGAGCCACCAGCAAATCTTCTTCTGGACTTGCTTCATGCTAACCAGGAGTTGTCTCAGGAGGTAGTTCCGGTGGACACCCAGTTGGAACCAGGGCTGTAGTAGAGGCGGGAGGTCCCCGGCCCAGGGCAAGCAGAACACACTTATTGACTTACGGAACTCACGGGCACAAGGATGGGGGTTCAGGGAGCCTGAGGGTCCTTTGAAGCCCTCTCGGTGGGGGGGTAGGGGGTGGAGTGAAATCCTCTCGTGGATTAGATGAAGTAACCCAGACTCACTCTAGCTGCGCACAAGGCAGAGGGAAGATGAGATCGAGAGGGAAGAGAGAGGACGGAGAACATCGAGGCTGGACGGAGCAATGAGATCCTGAGAGAGAGAGAGAAGTTTACAGAACAAAAGGCAAAGTGAAAAGGGATGGACGCTGCGGACGCCAGGAGGGTTCAGAGGGGATGGAGAGAGAGGGGATGGCGTTGGTGTAGATCGGACTCAGCTGCATTGACTTGTGCTTCTCTTGGGCCTTCGACTTCTTTGACATTCCTTCCTCCTTCTCCTGCCGTCTGGTCTGGGGAGACACCTCGTCAACTTCCCCATCTAGCCGGTAGCTGTGGAGTTTCTTGGAAGTCTTCTCCCCCAGTGCTAACCGGGGCTGAGCCAGCTTCGGGTTGGGAGGTCCGGTCAACTGGGGCTGCCGCTCACTGTGACTTCACAGGACGCTTTGCTCAAAGGACCTCAAGGGCTTCCGTGCCCAGTGCAGGACACACTGCACACAAGACACACTCTGAGCGTGTGTCGGCATGTAGGAACGGCAAAGAAGCCAGGAGGAGCCCGCTAGCCCCTCTTCAGACTAACTGATTTTAGGAAAGGGCAGGAGCTACCACTCGGGAAAGCTGATGCCTTTGAATAAAATCGGTTAGTCGGAAAAAGGGCTATCAGATACTTCCTGATTTTTTCGTACGGTAGACCAGTGTTTCTCAACCTCAGCAACTTTAAGATGTGCAGACTTCAACACCCAGAATTCCCCAGCCAGGATGGCTGG